TCAGTTAAATTCTATTAAATTACAGAGTTTTGTTTCAATTAATGTTTCTTCGGAGAAGTCCAGACCTTTGCAGGGTTTCCCATCCCTGTATCTTCTGCTTGCATTGGCATGCCCGAACATGGCAACATAGATAACAATAGTGAATGTAAATACCTCCAGTGAAAAGCAGTGGTGAAGTGGAATCTGTTTGAAGCATATTTGGGACTTGGCTGCTTTGTTAGCCTAAAACAAAAAAAAAACACCCCAAACCCACTGCTGAAGGACTGACTGTGTTTCTCTCTGGGCAGAGCTTTATTATGAATGTTTTGTTAGCGAGATAGTTGTGACAGCAAGTCTTTTAAAGTGCCCTGAGAATTTCAACAAAATGGCTGCTTTCCTCGGGTTTCGTTCCTATCTGGATATCAACAGGCTCGCTGCCCTGAGCTCTAGGCAATCTTCCTCGGCTTCAACATGTAAAATTTAATAGATGGCTGTTGTAAATTAGATCTGCTGTTTCAGCTTTCATCAAACCACGTTTGGAGGAAGACAGAGCGTTTGAACGTGTTCGCTTTTCCCTTGCTTGCTGTCTGTTTCTGACTGCTTTACTTAATAAAATTTTTCTTTGTAAACAGAAAATACGCTTTGTAAAAGCATGCTTCTCCCTGCTGCAGCTTCAAGCCTGAGTAGTAATCCTGTCTGAGCAGCATCGTAGCCTGTTCATAACCAATCTTTGTGGTGTAAGAGTAGTAGACAATAATCCTATGTGCCAAATAAGAAGCCCGTCCAGTTTCAGAACAGAAACTATAATATACCAGTGCTGTGTAATCTGGTGGTGTTTAAATATTCTGTTAAGTTTTGCAACGCTGGGCAGAGCGAGTGTCCAAAGTGATTGCTGAGGGCTCATACAGCAGTGACAGCGTTGATAGAGAGCTGTAGCAGAACTAGTGTCAAAACAGGGATGGAGACATCAAATTACTTCGGTGTCATTTTAACCCCAGATGACTGAGTAACAGGACATAGCTGCTCTGCAGCATCTAACCTCTCATTGAGATAGATGCTGTGATTTACTCCTACAAAGCTGCTCCCAAATAATTGCGAGGTAAGTGTGTGCATGCAAGCAATTAATGTGGAGCAGCTGTTACCCGGTACCTTGTTGGTGTGCCGTGCCTTAAATTAGAACAATCCTTAATGCCAGAGGTTTTTGCATTTGTATTTAACTGTTGTTTACATCATGCAAACCAAGCCTCTTAGCGCTGCCTCCCACCCTGTCTTCAGTCCTCCCTGTGTAATGCCGGCTCAGGTCATATTGCTGTCCGCACTGCATATGAGCAAGGGCATAGTTGTAATAATCCTTGCCTTCCTTATCACTGAAACAACTAGTTAAGTTCTAAATACTGGATCTTGGATGTGGTAAGCAGAGAAAGCAGGCAGCCCAGTTATTTGTGGTAGGAGCTTGTCATGCTGCTGGTGTTTCTGGTTTTTGTTGTTGTTGTTTTGACTTTTTTTGTTTTTAAAAAAAATTAATGTGTTAAACAAATATTGATGTGTTTACTCTTTAGAGGAAGCTAAAGCCCAACGAGCCCACAAAAGCTACCCCTCACACCATATTTGTGTTATAATACACTGAACCAACAGTGGTGGTTTCTGGAGTATAATCCTAAATAATGTCCTGTTTTGTATGCTGCTATCACCTTCTTTTTGTGATGCTGGGATACTTGGGGGGGGGTCTGATCTGGGGAGACTTGTTTTGGAGAGCTGCAGTGCCACTTCATTGGGAAAATGGAGAAGCCACAAACAAAATGAGACACTTGTTCTTCATGACCACATGTCCTTTGGTGAGCGGTATTTGCTGGATTTGCCTTATCTCACTTGATAATCACTGCAGACAGCTTTAGTTCCTTATTAATACAGCATAACTTACCCTTCAGTGTAGGGGGAACCTGTCTGCTTTAAAAAGAAAAATCAGCCAGGGACCACTACCTCAGTTAGCCTATTAAGTGATTAAAGGGTATTCCCAGAAGCCTTAATACAGTGGCCAAGTGGGCTGCCATAGCAGAAGGTAGGACAAGAATTCAGGCTAATTTAAAGCCATCTTAATGCTGTTGCTTGAGAAATTAAGAAAATACTGTTTCTTTGTACATCTGGCAGATCTCTGGGCTGAGTGAAAAATCTCTGTGTTTGAGAAGAGCTGCATGTGTTACTGTCTGAAACTCATTTGTAACCATAGAGCATAGCAGGGGTGAGGGGCTCAAGTAATGTGCTTTATAGATGGAGAGTGCTGGAAGGATTACACAGAAATGTATACGTGCTGTCTGCCTGGTATGTTTAGCAGGATATTTCCCGTTTTGAGGCAGGGCTTGTCCTAGACCATGGAAAAATTTTTTTAAACATGAAAATTGTACTGACTATGGGAGCTGGTATCATAAACGACATAATCTAGAGATAAGATCAGTTTGTTTACTAAAGCATATTTTCATCTTTGGTTAACTTGCTCTAGGAAGCATGTGTGTTTAAGTGAGCTGTTTAAGAGCACCTTGAGGTACTGCTACATAATACAGATGGTATTACGGAAAAGATGTTGTGGAGACCCAAATACAAAGTAACCTAGAAAGAGCAAAAACTAAACCCCTGAAAGAGGCCGCAGTCCAACCTGAAGCTGGAGTAGCCTTTTGGTGAAGGAAACCCTTAAATGCCCATACAGCTTCTGGGTGGCAGGACTGACTTGAAACAGTTCAACTGCTTGCTCCCCTCTGTCTGCAGTGTTGGCACTGGCTCTGTGCTGCTGTGTGCTGGGCTGGATCAGGGATTGATGCTATTGGAAAACTTTTTCTGGATTTTTTTTTTCTTCTTCTTTAAATGGGGTTCCATGGTGGTTTAGCATGATTCCCACATGGCTGCAGCAGCTTGTGCAGTGTTGGCCGGGCAGAGCGCTTGTCAGCCCCACTGTCAGGGCAAAGGGTGAGGATGCAGCTCCCTAGGAAATACAGACCATGCAAAGACCATCCTGTTGCCCAAAGAACCTCTCACCCTTTGCCTCAGGGTATATACTCGGTGTATTCGCATTGCATTTGCACAGGGAGGTGGATCAGTTTGTTGCTTTGGCTGACAGCCTCAAAGAGAGGGGAGAACACCACCATCAGAGCAAGGAGCTAGTCCAGCTTGTCCTGGAGCTGCACCATCACTGCTTGTGACACAGGGAAATGGGTAAATCTGCCCTAAAATTGGATCACCTCCTTAGCAGGCAGCTCAGCGCTGTTATCCCGACTCCTGCTAGCATGCTGAAGGTTGGGGTGCTCCCTTGCTGTTTTGTAATGTCCAGTCGCATATGGTTGTCAGCCAAGCACCTTGTTGTATTACTACAGTTAGGAGCTTGGATTCGTATCGCCTGAGAGACTTGTTCAAAGATGGGCTGGGGCAGCGTTTTCACAATACAGAGTGTCTGGCAATACCAGTTTCTGTTTTTTCTGCCTCATACTGTGTAGCAGATTTGCTGTCCCAGCTGTTTATGAGGCTCCACATGGACTGGATCAGGGATCTGGTCTAACCTTTCTAAAGCTGCTTTTGTTCACATGGGCTTTTTAAACTGGAAAAAAAATATCTTAATTTGGCCTTAAACAAGCTGTGCTGGCTTTAATAAGAGTAAGAACACCCTGCAAGGAGGAGAGGACTGTCACTTTTTATAGTATAAACCATAAGACTAGTTCTTTGTGCTCACATTTTGACCCTAGGGCTTTATTTCAGTGAATGTTTTGTTGGTGTTGCTGCTGAAAGATGCTGTCCTGCTATCCCCTCCTGCCCTCTCCGTTGTGCTAATGCAGCTGTTTGTGTGGTCAGGCAATCAAACAGATTGGGGAACTGATTCAGTGAAAAGACAACTTAAAGGAAAAGAAGAAAAAAGATCCATTTCCAAGCCAGTAATTTGCAGTGTTGTGGCATAAGATGGCTGTACTAGCATGGACTGGTGAGCGCAGGATGTGCAAGCGTGCAGCTTAGGGTAAGGATGGCGTGGGATTGCTGCTTTGGGTGGCAGCATTGGCTTTTGGCAGCTTCAACTTGTAGCTATAGCCTGCGGGCTCAGAAAATCACATTGCTAGTTTATGTCCTACTTTTCAACAGCTTCAGAGTGTCCGTTGAAAATTTGCCCTAAGGCAAACTTCCATTTTGCTGTCAAATGGCAAAGTACATGTAGCGATTCTCAGGGTGCTCGCTGTTGCCTCTGTTGCGTGTAAATGGTCCTAAAACAGAGCCCAGAGAGTTTGGATTTAGGGAGCTAAAATGTGGTTCTGGGGTGTAACAGAAGCCATGTGGTTTGTTATGTTTCTTGGCTCATATAACCAAACCCCTGGCTGATGATACAGATTCAGTTGGAAGAAAAACTTGTACACAAGTGAAAACCAGCTTTTATTTTTGGTCCTATTTCTGACATTTCTAGACCGTATTTCATTCTTAATTGTATAATTGCACAGTATTTTCTGTATCTTGGGATGCTTCAGGAATATCTGGGGACTTCAGAGGGCATTGTCATTTTATACTGGCAGCCAGTAACTTGCTGGGAGAGTTTTCAGCCCAAGTGTTTTGGTGGTTGGGGCTGGGACAAACAAGGAACATTTTTGTTCTGCAGATAGTGTGGAGGTTGTGGCAGAAGTGGGTAGGATGGATGGCAATTAGCCCTTCCTCCGTTTATGAACATCCTGGGTTTACATTGTGTATGCATGCTGGACAAGGAGATGTTGGCACTTAAGCATCTGTTGCGGTAGCCGTAACTGACCTGTTCCTTAAGTCTTCAACCATATTCTTATTTTATATAGACATTTTGCTTTATGGAGTTTAATTTTTCTATGTAGTCAAACTAATTTCCAGTATGTGTTAGTTAACATGTATTGTCTGCACAGATTATGTTATCGGACACAGTGATTTCCCCATTTGCTTATTCAAAACTCTGCTTGATGTTCTTCTAACAGTATACCAACTTGGTCGAGTAGTTACTCTATTTATTATTTTTCTTTTCTTTTCCTAGAATCCAGCGACTATCACTCGAATACTGCTTAGCCATTTCAACTGGGATAAAGAGAAACTGATGGAGAGGTAAGCAGCCATCTTAGCATGCAGCCACATTTCGCTTCAGGCCTACAAAAAATGTTTATTACTGCATTAATGTGAGAATGGATGAATGCACAGTATCTGGCAGGAGAATCTGTTGTGTAAACTCTAACTGTTCCCTCTTCAGCAACCTTTACCAGCTAAGAGTGACTCCTTGTTCTAATGTTATTAATATCTGTTAGACTTCAGAGAAGTTTTGAAAGTTGGTTGCCCATTGGAGGAAGAGATGCCTTCCAGTTTGAACACATACAGGCACAGCATTTTCACAGGCTCTGGAAAAAGCAAACAGGAGCAAGTTCCTCTTATCTTGGAACTGTTCTGGATTTGGGTTTAGTGCTCTTGCATGTCATCCTAGCATGCATATTCCTGACATGTTTATTTGTTAGTCTTGCCAAGACTAAATTGTTCTTGACTGATAAAGGGTACTAGTAAAGTGCATCTGCGTTGTCTTCATCAGCTCTAGGTTTTCTTTAGAGTGTGTGTAAATAATGGCTTGAATTTTGCCTGCTTCTCTGCCCCTCAGAGCAGAGCATTTTATGGTGATTTCTCATCTTTGACTGCCAGCTCTTGGGGAATGTTGGTGGTAAAGGTACTTTTTGTAGTTTGGTATTCCACAGTGGAGGCTAAATCCAGCTACAGTGGAGGCCAAATCCAGCTACAGTGGTAATGCACTTGTTTTTGTGTTGCTGTGGAAGAGAGTGTGAGGGAGCTTGTAGAAGCTTGGAGGAGAGTTAGTCTGGACCAGAAGGAGCAGTAAAGGCAGTACAGGGACTTACTGGTTGTTTTGGTCTTGGCTGGTCTTAACAAGTGTTAAGAGACACAAATGAGTGAGTGGAGGGTGAGGGCAGAAGGACTCAGTGCCTGGTAGGATTGTTTGACTTTCACTTATCCTTTCCTTTGCCTGATAATCAGGGTATGAGAAGATGGGATGCTTTGTGGTCTGTAGAACAGAAACAATTGTGGGTAGTGCTGTTGAATTGATAAATGCCACTTAAGAGCCTGTAGGTGCTCTATGCTGAGGCTCAGCCCTTTCAGGCAGGGCATAGCTGGAAGAGCAGCAAATTTGCAGGCTGGTAGTAGATAGTTTGGGAGTTTAAATATTTGTACTAGCCTGGAATAATGGATTTAAGACGCCTTTAGCCCCCTTTGTGTAACATTTTCAGTTAGTGATGGTGCTCAGGTATCTTATGTTTTGTTTGGCCTAGATTCCTCCCCCCCCCCC